CTTTTTTTTTTTTTTACCACCACAATATTTGATACGGTTCAAATGTTTGTTGAAAAGCTTTCCCGAGTCAGAGGGGATGGGGGAGGTCGCGAGGGGGGGGGAGACAGGTCAATAACCGACCTGCACAGAGTGGATACATGAGGGTAATGTTGTACCATGTTTATGTTATGGTTATCACATATGTTTAAGCTAACGATGTTGTTCTTAGGTGAGGTTAAAACTTGAGTTACAATTTAGATAGACTGAGCCGTCAGCCGGGGAGACGGAAGATCCTGACTGAGTAGAGTCCCGAGAGATCACAGTGGTCAGCGACGACCGATCTGCGAGCGCACTTGGTCCTCTGGGCTCCGCCCACTTGGGAATTCTTGGACTCCCTTGACCACCCTACCGGACTAGGCGACAAGATATAGGTGAGAGGTACTCCCCTTGTCCCCAGGCGGGCGGGAGAAATACTGCCCCCCGTCGCTCATATCCGATATCGCTACACGTAGCGACTCCATACCGAAACAGGGACTGGGCTTCACAGCCCGTAAATTTCCCTTCACTGGTTACCCCACGCTTCCCTACCCCCCCCAACCTAACCCTCGACTGCTTGACAGACGCGACAGATTACACACACATTTGACAAAACGATGCCGCCCAAGTCAATTGCCCCAGCTCCCATCACGGTCCTCTCTCTCAACGCTAGGGGCCTAAACAAACCTGAAAAACGATCGGGAGCCATGAGAGAATTCCTAACCCATAAAGCATCCATAGTGTATCTACAGGAGACACACTTCAGAGAAGGGTCCAGGCCCACACTGACAAACCAACACTACCCAGTGGGTTACTACAGCGATTTTCAGGGGGGGAAGTCCAGGGGCACAGCGATTCTCCTCCACAAACGCATCCCGTTTAAAGAGACTGGAGTACTGACAGACCCGGAAGGACGTTATACCTTCGTTAAGGGGGAGATAGCGGGCACACAATACACTCTCGCTAACATTTATGTCCCAAATCAAAGGCAGTATCAATTCATAGCCCGGATGCTTCGCACCCTTAGGAGCTTCAAAGAGGGCGTGTTGATTTTGGGGGGAGACTTAAATATAGCTCTAGACCCTAAATGGGACTCCTCACTGGGACACTCACACATCCCCGCACAACACCTTCAGGCAATTAGGAACTTACTGACAAAAGAAAAAATGGTGGACTGCTGGAGGGCAATGCACCCGGACGAGAGGGATTATACCTTCTACTCTCACCCACATAACTCCTACACTCGAATTGACTATCTCGTTCTGTCACAATACCACCTACCACTGGTGCTTCACGCCAATCAGGGCATTGCGACATGGTCAGACCATGCGCCGGTGCTCATCACACTGAAATCACCCCTATTTAAACCCAAGATCTCCAAATGGAGATTAAACGAAGCCCTACTGGCAAGGCCAGAAGTGACAATAGAGATAGATGCAACACTAAAAGAATACTTTACAAACAACAGTGAGCAGACCTCCCCCACCATACGATGGGAAGCACACAAGAGCGTAATTAGAGGACATTCCATTCAAAAGAGCGCGCACTTGAAAAAACAAAGGGAAGCGCGTATGACCACATTACTGTCAGACATACAACAACTAGACACCCTCAACAAGAGACTCCAACTACCCACACACCGAGCTACACTCCTCTGCTTAAGGAGGGAACTGACTACACTTTTACAGTCCCAACACCATAGAGATGTATTGCGCCATAAGGCATTCTTTGCCGTACATGGCAATAAGAGCGGGAAGCTTCTGGCGCGCATGCTTAACAAAAGAAGACAAGACACATACATTGACCGCATAAGAGACAAAGGGGGGATTCTTCACAGGCACCCCACTAAGATACAGGAGATTATTCGGACATATTACTCAGAGCTATATTCTCTGCCAAGGCCGCAAACCGAAACCCAAGCCCAAAAGCTCCGTAACTCTATTGACGAATATCTTAGGTCTCACACACTCCACTCCCTGACAACGGAAGAAGCAGATCAGTTAGAGGAGCCCGTCACCCCAGAGGAGTTGGCACTTGCGATTAAAAACACCAAACCAGGGAGAAGTCCGGACCCGGACGGTTTACCCATTAAATACTATAAGAGGTTTGCGGAAACTTTATACCCCCCACTACTAGAGATGTTCAACGCAATCCGGGAGGTACACGACATCCCCAAACAGACACTAACGGCACATATCACCATACTTCCTAAAGAAGGCAAAGATCGAGAGCACTGCGGGAGCTATCGACCGATATCCCTCATAAATACTGACCTCAAATTATTGGCAAAAGTCCTGGCAACCAGACTTCAGACACACATACCTAGGCTGGTTCACGCAGACCAGGTAGGATTTGTGATGGGTCGGGAGGCCAGAGACAATACCATTCGAGCACTCACACTTATGCACAGGAAGACGAGGGATAACACGGGCCTTCTCCTGCTGTCCACAGACGCGGAGAAGGTCTTTGACAGGGTCTGTTGGGAATACATGTTCCAGACACTGGCTCACATGGGCATGGGCACACACCTCCAGGGATGGATTAGAGCCCTCTACTCCCAGCCGACGGCACACGTTCTAGTCAATGGAGCACTTACGGAGGCCTTCCCAATCTATAACGGCACACGTCAGGGCTGCCCTCTGTCCCCCCTGCTGTTTGTCCTGGCTCTAGAGCCCTTCCTGCAGAACATTAGATGCCACCCGGACATTCAGGGAATACGCACAGGAGACACACAACACAAAATAGCCGCATATGCGGACGACCTCCTGTTCTTTATAACCCACCCCGAGGTCTCCTTACCCAACCTAGTACAGGCATTCCAGAGGTTCGGAGAGCTATCTGGTCTGAAAATCAACTATTCCAAATCCTATATTCTAAATATAAGCATCCCTACACAGAGGGCTACCCAGCTCCATCAGAGTCATGCCTTCCAATGGGCTACAGATAAAATACGCTACTTAGGCACGTGGCTAACGGTTAAAGCAGCGAACCTATATACATCCAACTTCGCCCCGATTCTCCTACAATTTCGGAAAGACATGGGTGACTGGGCCTTCCCACACATCTCCTGGCTGGGTAGAGTGCAAGTGGTGAAGATGAATTTCCTGCCAAGACTACTATATCTTTTCCAAGCTTTGCCCATAGCAATCCCGACTTCCTTTTTCACAACACTCAGGAGGGCAGTGGGGGCTTACGTATGGGATGGGAGGAGACCCAGACTGAAGTTCTCTCTCCTTACAAAATCCAAAAACAAAGGGGGCCTAGCCCTACCAGACTTTTCGCTATATTACAAGGCGTGTCATTTACAACGCGTTGTCGAATGGTCTAAACCGGGGGTCATTAAGCTGTGGAAAACGGCGGAGGAGAGGGAGGCGGGCGTCCCCGCCGCCCTTCTTCCATGGCTCCCTGCGAGAGGTGACGGGGGGGAGAGTCAGTACTCCACCTACACCAAAGCGACACTATCGGTGTGGCGCAGAAGCACAGGGAAGCACGCCCTCCCCATGTACCCATCCCCTTTGCTGCCACTTACATACAACAAGGACTTCCTGCCGGGGTTAGACCCGAGGGCCCTCCAAACCCTGGTAGAAGACCCATTGCCACGATTGAGACACGTATGCACTAGCCGAGGGCTGACAGACTTAACAGAACTGAGCAGGGAGAACCCCAGACCCTTCCTAACACACTTTAGATACGAACAACTCCGCAGCTACATAAGGCTCCTCCCGCAAGGGGCGGCTCTTGGCAGAGACCTCACTGTCTTTGAAAAGATATGCACAGACCCAGATCCATTACCACATGGAGTGGCACACATATACTCCCTCCTTAACTCACAGACCCCGTGGGAAGCGCCAAAATTCATGGGTAAATGGGAGGAGGCTCTCAACCAAACATTCAGCTCTCAGGAATGGGAAAAAATATGCACTATCATACACCATTGTTCTGTGTTCAGCAAAAGCCAAGAAACAGCTTACAAACTGCTAACACAGTGGTATCGCACACCTGCCACGATACACCACATACACGCAAACGAGAGCCGCCTCTGTTGGAGATGTGCCAAGGCAACGGGAACACACATACACATATGGTGGGAATGTGAATTAATACAACCCTTCTGGCGCACCATTCACAAAATCTTATCCCGATTCTCAGATAACCCACCACCTAGGGAACCAGCAGCCATGCTGCTCCATCACACGACAACCCCTACCTCTAAATACAAAAAATCGCTCACGATTCGGATTCTTAATATAGCAAAACAGACCATTCCACAGTTCTGGAAGAAAAAAGAGACCCCGTCCATACACAAATGGTTCACCCAAATGGAAGAACTACGGGCCATAGAAGAGCTCACCATGAATGCGGCCGGACCGCAACAGCAGACCTACCTTGACATATGGACACACTGGATCCTGACATCTACAAAACCTGACTTCCAAACGCTACTACAAGACAGACCTCTGGACAACACTCACTTGACTGATAAAGAGACAGAAGACTAACCCAATCCCTCCTTCCTCACATATACCTACCCTCCACACCCACGAGGCACTAGATGTGCGCCCAGTGAAGAGGTACAGGCCCACGAACGAGATAACAGTAGAGCGACTAAATCAATGCACCCCAAAACCCAGGAGGTGTAACAAGGACATATAACCCATAGGACGAACTGGCACCAGCAGACTAAGGTCAGCAGCGACAAATAATACCGCAAGGCCCCACAACCTCTAAACACAAAGAACACACAAGGGCACAATGTATAGAGAGACCTAAACGCAACACCAGTAAAAATAGGTAGAAGCTGAATAAGTGGGTAACTGTGCAAAAACAAAAATGACACCCAAGTACAGGAAGGATGAGGGTATAACGAATGGGACCTGCGAGTCCGACAACATCGTGGGCCTGCGTGCCCGGAAGGATATATGTCTTGAAAGTTGTTATAGATATGCACTGAAATATGGAGATCTGCGAATCTCGAGTTAATCCATTACACGCTATGCTTTTAATTGCTACCTTTTAATAGTTACCCTTGCAACCAACGCTATAACTGTACTGTATTCCATTGGCATGTTGCACTAAATAGAAGGGCAGCCTACCTTAACTTTAACATGTGGGACCAATATTAGCCATGCGACCATTCCAATAGCCCAGGCAGCTTTGTTGGCCCTGCCAGTTTACTATAACTCAATATGAGCTGTAACCATTACCGAAAGCATGTTTCATGATCTATATTGTCGTTTAGAGCAGCATGTCTAGGACCTAGCTCTATACAATCGATATCGACTCCCATATATGCCACCTGACATGTTAGACAAATCTTGCACTGGTTGCTAGTTTATCAAAAGGGCAGGACACTTTAGTGCTCTGTACCAGTTATGCGATGTATAGCTCCTTTGAACAAACATGACGCTGCCTCCGTTTCACGTGCCCTAGAATGGATAAGCAAACCAAAGACTAGACTAATTGCTTAATACAGAAAAAGGATGCGCTATGTCGTCAGGATATTGTTTGACCTGCTCAGCTAACTGTTAAGCATCACTCATTTATTTTATTTTATTTTATTTCAATTAACCAAGCTTATATCACTATGTTTACTGTAGTTTTAAAAACAAAAAATATGGCAGTCCTTCTTAGGAGTGTATTACTAACCATCTTGCTATCATTAACGTGTGTTACCCCACAATATCTCCTTTTTCTATTCTGTACCCCATAACGCATATGCCATAATAAAAGAAAGATTTACAAAAAAAAAAAAAAGGGATTATCTGAAACTATGCTATATGAGATTGCCGCCAAAGACTTACCCAAAAAGCTTAATGAATTTATCACTTTTGTCATGCAGATTGGTAATAGACTGAGAACCAGAGAAGATACTAGAAACAAGACCAGACGCATGAGTATGTATTTAGCACCCCGTTTCTCCAGACCTATTGTCCCTGAAATTCCTGTACAGTCCGAACCCGAACCCATGCAGTTGGGGGTCTCTAGACTGTTGGAAGCAGAAAGACAATATAGGAGAAAAGAAGGCCTATGTCTATACTGCGGTAGGAAGGGACATATGAGAAACAATTGTCCCATACGTCCGGAAAACTACTGTACCTAAGTACCTTAAGGGGACAGGTCTTAGGTATAATGGAAACGTCCTCTGAAAAGAATAAAAATAGGTTTCTCCTTGACATTTCTATCGCCTTTGACAAAAATAACTTTTCATGCAAAGCCCTGATGGATTCAGGTGCTGCTGGAAACTTAATTGACATTCAATTTGTCCAAGGTAATACTATATGTAACGGAGCTCCTTGTACTCCGACTGAGTACCCTCCGTTGATGGATGCTCCTAGCGCTTCCTGAGGACTCCCAAGCACTGCAGCAGACAGCACAACCACCGCAGACTCCACAACCGCCGTATCTTGACTGGAGTCTCGCCGTCTTCTTTCCACCCTGGATCAGCTTCTGTCCTCCAGGACTGTGTGGTGAAGACCCCTCCTCCAAGGAGAGCGTGTCAAGAACAAGCTCTTAAAAGAGCTAAGTGACTCAAGCTCAGGGGAGCATGCAGAGCATAGCAATCCCCAGTGTGATTATAACAGCTCCCTCCAATAACAAGACAAGGCTACGTTTAGAGGGATCAAGAAGAACTGTCAAAACCTTTATTTCCCTTGGGACCAGCCAATAGGGTCACCACAATAACATTGTTGTGAAAACTCAATAAAATCACAAACAGTCAAACCAAATCAAGCAACACACAGTGACTTATCACAACACAATGGCACATTTTTAAAGGGGTAGGGGGAGACAATATTTAACAGTAAATATCTCACCTGCCTGCAGAATTAGCAATATGCAAATCTACCCGAATATGCAAATGAACCAGTCTTGCAATTCAGGTAGTGCATATTGCTGTTGCTACCAACAGAGGGCACTAGACCAGCTCCATAGCCAAACCCACCTAGTTGGTAGCAAACCTCAGCAATACAAGAGAGCAGGCAATACATTACACAGTACACACACACACACTATAAACAATTACATTACACACACCCTGCACCTATAATGGGTACAGGGTGACTAAAACATAAGATAAATAAAGCAGCCTACATAAATAGTCTGTCTGAAGGTAAAGCCAGATACATGAAAGAGTCATAGTCACAGGGGAGGAGGCTGGCAAGTAGGCCTCTCCAGGACCAAGTGGCGAAGGGCACTTCGTCACACATATCTAGGGGTGATTATATTGGCAGATATAAGACGGACTATGGAAATTAATTTTCTGAAATTGTTAAAAGAGACTAATATCTTATTAAAAGAATGGAGAGTGCATGAAATCTCCTGGTGGGGAAGGATTAATACCATTAAAGCCTATATAATCCCTAAATGGGCTTACCTATTTGGTATGCTCCCTCTCTCGATTTCTTGCCATTGGTTAAATATGCTACAAAGTAGCATTACAGCTTATATTTGGAGAGGGAAGAGACCAAGAATTAATACATATATTGTAGTGGATTGCACTGGGCTGTCCTGGAAATTTAATGTGTTTTAATGCCTTCGGTTAAAATTGCAATGTTATATGTGGAAATGTATGTTGTATTCGTCTGATTGTTCGGTAGAATCATTCTAGCAATTATGGGAATGAAACTACCGAACAGTCAGACTTACCCAGTGTGAGGTGTGTCTTCAATTACCAGTTGCAACAATGTTGCGAACTGGTAATTGGCAAGCTGTGCAGTGGGTCCTTTGTTCTAGGGGTGGCCGCCATTCGGGAAACGAACACGTGACTGCGGCCATTTTAAAACTCCCGAACAGCAGTGTTTTGCCATCGAGTGTCTGGAACCCAAATCGGACACTCGGCTAGGCGAACACTGCTGAGACCTCAATACTAACGGTATGTTCGCTTCCAAACTACCGAACGGCCCCTCGTTCAGTAGAAAGAAACAACCGAACGAGGGGATTCATGCGAACCTTCCCTGATCTCTGTAGCATTAGCCTTTCGTGCAGTTTGTTCCCTTATACGGTGACCGACCGCAGGGCCCCATCTCCTGGAACCACATTCGGCTGTTCTCTCCAGCGCCGTCGGTCTTTTCATTACCTCCACAGATTTCCCGAACCCCTGGTCCGATCTGGGTGATTTTTGGATATGTCTCTCACCCAGATCAGGGCTACCAGGGGATGTGCTATTTAAAGGGGTACCCCTAGGTTTAGGGGTACATCCAGAAACTTGGGGAATTTGTGTACTGTATAAGGGGATTATGAGTCAGGCTAAGGGGAGGAGATGTGTGTGAGGTTACTCGAGTATGATTGGGCACTGTAGTAATTATTGTAAATCCCTCCCTTGCATGGGAGCATACTTTATAAGACCACTGTGTGAATAAAAGTTTAGTTCTGATCCTAATACTGTGTGTCGTCCAGTCATTGGGATTGCTGTTGGGATATTGCTATTTTATTCAACCTGCTGGAAACCTTGCCTTATGGATTTATAAATACTTGTTAATCACAGACATTAAAAGAATGGAATAATATAAAGAAAAAGCTGAATATTAATTAAAAAAACTTTATGAGAACCTCAGCTTAAGGTCGTTAGAATATTATATGTTAGAGATTCATTTGATAAACTGGTATAAAAACTCTAATTATAAGATAAAAAGATCTTTATAATTAATGAACATCAACTGAAAAGCTTTGAAGTTCTTAAAAACCTGTTGGATTTACCTTCTAGAGAAATATTTAATTTCCTTCGTATCAAGAGCTTTCTTAAAGATAATATACTAATGTTAGATGGCTGTTTTGGTAAATTGTTTAGGAAAATCTTCTCCAGTTTTATGGTTAAAAAGGTGTTCTCTCTTGCAATAGAACTAATAAAGTTTAAGGGGACCCCAGATATCCCCAAAGCTTTAATTAAATGGGAAAATGATTTAGCAATACCTAACCCACTCAATAATTGGTGTAAATCCTTTATGAGGACTAAAAAAGTAATTAATTGTCTGAATATTCTAGAGACCTTTACCAAAATAATGTATAGATGGTACTTGGTACCGACTAGACTTGCAAAAATATCTAACACAAATCCATCAAATTGCTGGCGGTGTTTCCACCCAGATGGTTCTATGCTTCATATATGGTGGGCTTGTCCCAGAATTAAGTCCCCCTGGAGTATTTAACTGGAGGTGTACATCTGGAACATAAAGCGGAAATTGCCCTACTCCATTTTATGGGTTTTGAAATAAAAGATCATCTTGACATTGTGATTATACATTGTTTAATGGCAACTAAAATATTAATTGCTAGATCTTGGAAAAGTACTGAGATACCCACTAGAGATCAAGTTAAAGCCCAATTATTATATCAAGTTGAGATGGAAAAAGGCCTGATCCTTATGAAAGATTGTTTTAATCTTAATATTTTGATGCTATAATCCAATCTTATTGATAAGATCAGAGGGCTTTAATGAGTTAATGTATCTTGACCTCCCCAGACCCATCTGAAATCCAGTATTGGGTAATACCTTATGGGCTCCTTGACCACATATCTGATATTAGCTATATATATATTGGAAATCTTGACCAGCTATATTTCTATAATATATTAGACCAGTTTTGTTTATATTGTTTGTCCTATCTATGTGGGTATTTAGTCCGACTTGGGATTTGATACGCCTATACTGCACTTTGTTTCTGTACTAGGTTTATCTCTTGCGTAAATCTGATGTATTTTATTGTACCTGTGTGTGTATTATCCGGGAAAGGATGCCTTTTTTTATGGCTCCTCCCCCGGTGTTGTATTGTTTATCTATACTGCTATAAAAATCAATAAAAAGAAAGATTGAAACTAAGAATGATAGGGTGGTTGTGACAAGATTGGAGGAGGTCACTGTGACAGGGTGCGTGTGTGGGGGAAGTGACAGGGTGTGTGGGGGGCTGTGGGGTGACAGGGTGGCTGTGATGTTATGTGGGAAGGGCTTTGACAGGGTGGGGGGTATTGACGAGTTGGGGGTTGAGAGAAGGTAGTGGGGGCTGAGAGAAGGTAGTGGGGCTAAAAGAGAGGGTGGGGGCTGAGAGAGGGTCGTGGGGCCTGACAGAATGTAGTGGGGGCCTGAGAGAGGGTGGTGGGGGCTGAGAGAGGGTGGGAGCTGAGAGAAGGTAGTGGGGGCTGAGAGAGGGTAGTGGGGCCTGAGAGAGGGTAGTGGGGGCTGAGAGACAGTTCAGTCTTCAGCTCTGCATCTGGAGGAGGGCCCCCTTCTGTGTCGGGTCTTCGGTAAGAGACTGAAGACCCGACATGTCACTCTGCCCTAAGCTAATTTTGGAGGCCGCTGCCTAAATCTCCTAATTAGAGAGCTGTCTCTCGAAAGAGGTGAATTATGGTTTAACAGACATATAGCTCAAATTACAGGTTTTGTTTTGATTAGAACTTGTACAATTATTATTATTATGTTATCATTTATATAGCGCCATCAAATTCCGCAGCGCTTTACAGTGGGTGGACGAACAGACATGTAGTTGTAACCAGACAAGCTGGACACACAGGAACAGAGGGGTTGAGGGCCTTGCTCAATAAGCTTACATGCTAGAGTGAGTGGGGTAAAGTGACAGAAAAAGTAAGGATAGTATTAGACTAATGACAATTGCAAGAGAGGAATCAGTCGGGAGCTATTAACAGTTTAATTTATACGCTTTTATGAAGAAGTGGGTTTTTAACGATTTTTTGAAGGACTGGAGACTGGGTGAGCATCTAACGGAGGAGGGAAGTGAGTTCCACAGGAACGGTGCAGCCCTC